ACACACACACACACACACACACACACACACACACACACACACTGAACTGTCCCTCTAACCTCCACAGGTACACCATGACATGCATGTGCACACACACACTCACACATACTCATACACATACACACACACACACACACACACACACACACACACTCACACTCACACAGTGAATTGTCCCTCTAACCTCCACACGCACACCATGACATGAATGTGTGCACACACACACTCACACACACACACACACAAATGTAATTTAAGAAGAAAAGACAACTGCAGGAATTTTCCCTCCTACATTGAGTTCACATCCTCATCCTTCTATCCAAAAAGGCACAGGGTCACCCAGGCCCTTTTCAGCATTTTATTGTTGGACAGGCATTTACAACGTTCCATTCATAGACCTAAAAACATAAAAATAGACCTTCTTTCAGCTTATAAAAGAAATATATAAGAACTTTTGACACAGACACATCATGACCTTATGTACAAGAGACAATGGCACCTGTCGAAGCACCAGACGATCCAGTATTTTCCGATGGACGCATTGCAGAGAGACTAGAAAAACGTGACTTCCGACGCCTCTGCTTCAGTTTCCCATCAGGACGCAATCGACCCCGAGATGATATGAACAATGAAGTGATACAAAGGGCATAGAAACCATTCTAAAGCTTTTTAAGAAAACCAGAAGATATAGCAAAAACTTTAATAGAATAAAACTTTGAAAAGATCAAGCTCAAAGCCCTGGAAACCCGAAAGGGGGGTGGGGTGGGGGGGCAGAGGGCGGGGTGGGGGGGAGCAGGAAAGCAAGCGGGGGCTTAGAGCGTCGTGTTCTGAACTCTATCTGGAAATATAAAGTCATAACTGATTCTTATAAAATATAATTGCTAAAGCTACTATAAAATTCAGGTCTTTAAAGTACCTACTGATGTATCAAACACCAAATAGATATAGATATATATATATAGATATATATATTTTTTTTATTTCCAAAAAGAAAGTTTTCATATTATTTAAACCCTTCTTAGGGAATGGACATCATGAAATGGGGAGGAGGAACACAAAGCTATAAACCTTTTCTTAAAAAAATGAAAGTGCTCTCATGGGTTTTTGCTCTTCCTATTTGGACATCCATTTAGAAGATTAGGCCCCTCAGCAAGTTCACCCTGTTTCGTTGGCATGGAGTAAATGTTAACCACAAAGGACGTTTTTGAAGAGGTTCTGAGACCATGGACTGTCAGGGAAGGGGGAAGTCACCTATGGATGAAGATGCAATTTTGATGAGAAAAAAAAATCAATGATAGCCATGGCAACCCCATGAGGAGGAGGCTCCCCTCTCCTGCCATGTGCAACAGACACACACACACTACCCCATTCCCTGTCCCTGGAATCCAACCAAACTCCCATCTCAAATATAGATTCATACATTTTTAAAAAAAAATCTGTTTCTCAGGAAAAAAAAAGTTTATTCTTAGCATGAGCTTCTTGTGGGCCATTTATATATAAATATAAAGTCATCATGCCTCGCTCGCTCTGCAAAAGGTTATATCCTCGTTTTCAGACTGAGTTACACCTAACAATGTAAAATTCTCATCTCTTTGTGCCCCTGCATCTCAAGGAAAATACAAAAAAATAGTGTTTTTTTTTTTCTTCTCTCTCTCTCAGTGATAAATTTGGATCCCTTTCCCAAGAGTTTGGCATCTTTTATAATTCTCTGCAAAACTAGAGCTTCCAAACACTGACGTAGAATAAGACCCTCTATAGACATAAACAAAAGAAAAAAATCATAAAAGGCTCATCACACAAACGACCACCCCTGCCTCACACATTCTTAAAGTACACAGATATTCTCAGACACTGAAGAGGAAGAGTCAGGATTCTGCAAGCTGCACAGATGTGTGGATTTGCTCTGTGTGTGTGTGTGTGTGTGTGTGTGAAGGTGGTTGGTCCCCAGCTAAGAGACTGGATTCAGAGAGCTGTGGCAGCTTGTGTATGCCACCCTGTCCCTCGGACACTCTGCTTTGACGGCTGGGCTGGGGACAATTTGATGGCCACTGCTGTAGATTCTTTGTTCTAATTCTTCAGGCCCTGATGAACTGAGAATAAATAAAAGCCCTTGGTAATGTACAGAAGGTAGGACTCGAGCTTAGTTGGGATTCTGAACAATTCTCTCCGATGTCATTTAAGAATGATAAAGGTGGGTGGCTACCTGGCTTCAGACCTGAGTCAGCTGCCAAAATCTGTGTGCAAGAGTGTGACCTAAGGGGACATTCTCGTGGACGGCACAGGAGGGTGAGCAGAGTAGGGGGGGGGGTGCGGCATCGTATCTACACACGGTCTCTAAAGAGACAAAGGTAGTCAGATCTCAGTATTAAGTTTCCTGGAGGGGGCAAAGTCTTCACGCCTAACCCAAATGACTTCCTCGCTCGCGCTCTCCAGGCCTCCGTTGATGCCGGACAGGGCGGCTTGCTTCTTGAGCTGTGTCATGCGGGATGCGTGGCTATCGAGGGTTCTCCGGCCTCGGGCCCGCTGACTGATGGAGGCAGCCTGAAGCTGCTCCGGCAGGTCTCTGTCCTCTGAGGCGCCCTTCACCGACTCACAGAACTCGTCATCGTCACTGAGGATGTCTGTCTCCTTGATGTCATCCTGCTCCTCATACTGAGCAAGATCAAACTGTTCCTCTACCCATCGGTCAGTGTCCCCGCCACCGGGGGGCTGCTGGGGCTCTTTCTCCGGGCTGCTAGCCGAGACGGCATCGGAGTCAATGGTAAACCTGTTTCGGGCCAGTCGCCGCCTCCTCCTCCCAAGAGACTTGCTTGGGGCAGACACTGCACACACACACAGAAATATAAAAATAAACCCCCACATGCTTTACCATGAGATGAAAATCCAGCAAGCAAAGATAAGAAATATAAAAGGTAAATGGGCTTCGGGAGTTCCAGGTCTAGCCCCTACCATCCTGGTGTCTGCCTTACTCAGATCTCTAGACTACAGATGGTATTACAAGGATGGGCCCAGAGGATAAAGGGTGAGGGTAGGACCACACTAGAGGCTGTAGGTGATGGGGAAGGAAACAATCTACTCCAACCTGTGCACCCGTAAGACAGACAACACAGAGGCCTGCTGCTCCCCTCAATGTCAGATCTGCGACTGTCCTCAATACAACTGTGCCCTGGCACAGAGCTGCGGAGGATCTCCGGGGTTATCCCAGGGTCACTTGGCTAGAATAGAGGTCTCTAGTAAGCCTGAGAGGGGCTCCTAGGTTTTGCTGTCTGTGTAGACATCGCCATGCTGTCAGGAGCACTGGGCTGTGACACTGCTTTCTTGAGACTCGAGGACCTGCAGGTAGACCGAGGGTACCACAACCTCTTGGAGATTGTCTATGAAGAACCAGCCGTCAGAGACACAGAGCTACCAATCCACCTTTTGTGCCCTCTCTGATAAGGTCCAATAGGAACTCTGAAGCTTAGCAAACACAGCCTCGGTCCTAACTCCTAGCCTCATGCTGTGAATCTCCAATTCTCCTGCAGTGCAATTAAGATACCGGCACCTGAGTGGGATGAGAAACAAACAATAGATACCACTCCAGCACCGAGGAACCAAGAAAGTTACTCCAAGTTACAATCTCTGAGTTTACTCATATGCCCCACTGATTACTAAAGGCAAGCAAACAAATAGTGCAATCAACACTCCCAGTGCACACAGGCGTGCGCGCACACACGCGCGCGCGTGCGCACATGATGGCTGCTATGGTAGTGCCACTTCTCCTGGAGGAATGAAGCGGCTGCCGCATCGGGCACCCTGAGGTGAGATGCAGCGCAGGGTTTCCATGGAGGAAGCGCCTCCCTCCCACACCAGCCAGGAGCTGCCATCCTGAACCCCGAGTCTCACAAGCAGGGCAAGGGCTTCAGACCTGCCACAGGCTACCTACCTACTGTCCCCTTCTGAGTCTCACGAACTCCAAACAAACGGACACCGCTCTTGTTTAAAGACGGGACTAGGGACAAATCCCAGGCACAATGGGGGCAAATGGAAAACTATTTCTCCATTGGGAAAAAGCAAAACCACCTCTTCACTCTGAGCCTAATCCCACTGTAGTACAGCCTGGCTTTCCCCAAGTGCTACATTTGAATGACGCCGATTCACCGTCGGCCTCCTGGAAATGTGTGAATGATCCTCATGATGAAGTATCCAGTGGCCGAGTGTGCTCATGGCCGCACCTTTGAAATGTGTCACAGTAAGATGGCACATACAGGTGACAGAGGGGTAAGCAATGGTAAAAATACAGCAAAATGTTAATTATAAAATATAGATAGAGGGACAAATTCTTTTATCTGCTCCATGAATCTCAAACTTTTCGTAGGGAAACTGTAGACTATGGAAAAGTTGAGCTCAGGGCTGAAGTAACCACACTTCAGAGTGAGTATGGAGGCAGTGCATTTGTCTGCTGTCCAAGATGCACACAGCTCTTATGAAATGCAGGATCAATCGGGGCTGTCGGTCCTTTATGGAAAGGTCACTCAGTCACCCAGCTAGCATTAGTGGGTCCCTCTCAGTCTCAGGGAGACAGTCTTTGCCTGAACCACGGAAGTGCCATTTCATCAATCATGGGACATGGATACTGTGATGAGAGCGAGTTACTTCAAAAGCACAGTAAATAGAAACGGTTTTCAGCCAACAATGAGCCATCAGGCCGGGGGGGAAAAAAAAAACTAAAGCAAAAAAAACCCTTCAATCGGACAAATCCAGCAGGCTATGACATCATGGCTTTCTCTTGATAGTCATAACAATTTAGGGCAAGGAGTGTGTTTTATTTCCAAGAACCTCTCAGGAGAAAGACTTTGGTATCTCCTATAGACAAAATGTGTTTGTGTGTGTATGTGGGGTTTTTTGTTCTTTGTGGTTTTTTGTTTGTTTGTTTGTTTGTTTGTTTGTTTGTTTTGCAAATGCACTTCTGAATTTAGGTTCCTACGTTAACAATAGAAGCCTGGGCATTAGTGGTGAGGGTCCCTGAGATTGGAGCATATTTCCCAATCAAACATCCCTCAGTAGGCAAGAGTGGCACATAAAACACTACAACAAATTTCTCTTGCCATGAAGTGATGAACTGATTTTATAGGGGTACACCTTGAGAAATTGTGGGTCTGGATCTATGTATGACTCAGGCTATCTGGAGACCCTTACAGCTTGTTGGTATTGGGTTGTAGGTTTTCAATAAGCATACCAACTGGCTGAAAAACAGACTTAAGGCAGCCTCCACCAACATTCATTAGTTAAACTCAAGGTAACTAAAAGAATGTAATAGCCTGTGTCAAGGTAGGTTATGCCTATGAAGTCTACAGTGAGTCACAGCCCTTCATGAACCTCTGCGATGCAATTGAGAACCGGTGGGAAGGTAATTGGGTCAAAGGTAGAAATCTTTTTGGCAAATGTAAAGGCAATTTCTTTCACTGGACCCCTCCCTGAAAAGTTCTGGGCTTCATCTTAGGAAAGGAGCGATTAGAATGCTGATGGTACTAAGTCTAGTGTAGGGACACATCACTCTCGCTGGTATGCTGTATTGCCATTTGCACATGGTGGCAATGGTGTTCCTTCCTCGTTGCTCCAGACATGGGATGAATCCTCTAGGAGCATTTACTGGGGCCCAATTAAACTCGCCACTCTTCTTTTCCCAACTGAAACCTTCCCCGAATTAACACCAAGACTGAAACTAAAACTTGCGGGCACAAAACAAGGTCAACACCTTCTGCATCACCTGGCCTACCATGCCTGAGCATTGACTCCTCCCTGAGAACAGGCTATGTCTTCGGCCAGGCTCTGAAGTCACTGTGTTCTCAGAACAGTGGGCTACGACCTCGCCGACACTCAGCTCACTGCTTTTCACTCAACAAAGCTGGCTGACATGCAAAGCAGCGCCTCTCATTCCATAAGCAGGCTCAGGGGACCCCTTCCAAAAGAGGATGCGTTGGCTTGCTGGCTTGGCCAATGACAGAGGAGCTCACCAGCCAAAAGGAAGGCAGCAAGGGCAGGCTGAGGGGAGGGGAAGTGAGCAAACCAAGGGAAGAGCCCCCAGGACCCACCAGGGAAGAGACAAGGCAGTGAGCCTCACACGGTGGAAGAATGTACCCTCCATCAGCCCCCAGAGGGCCACACCTAACTCCTGCTCCCTGGAGTCCTACAGTGGAGTTGGGGTGACCGGGATCTTGTAGGTCTGAATCCCCACAGTACCTGCCCTGCTCATGGCTGGCCTGGCGCCTTTAAGCGCACATAATCTCTTGCCTCCGAAAGGGACATACTGCTGGGCGGAGGGGAGGCTTTCCGTTTTGAGGAGCTGTCTTCTGTGTTTATCTCGAAGGATCGAATGTACAGCCTTCAGGAAATCCTTTCGGCTCTCTGGGGAGCTATGAAAAAGAAGATTTACACATGTTAGGAAGCCAGTACTCAACAGTGGGCATTTATAAAGCCATCAGGTACGGCCAAACAAACATCCCCAAGGGCAAAGCGAAAGAGGGGACGACTCAGATTTCGATGCTTGGCTGCCTCCTTACGGCAGAGATAGAACACACAATCTCTCCTAGTTTCATGCTTTGCAAATTATCTTCTACTGCCAATTTGGGACAGAGTCCCACCAGTGATGAACAGATAACGGACAAAGGTGTTTTATACCAGGAAGTTGCCAAAATTCTGCTCTCTATACTCAAGTCATAGATTTCCATGTAAAATGTCATTAAGAAAAAGTGGAGCACAAGGCTCTTGCAGAACACCCACCACAACGGCTCTCCCAATGTGCTCGCTCTCGCCTGTTAAACAGCAACCCCTCCCATGGCCCGATCCACACATTAACTATTACGGCTAGACTCCACGATGAAATCTTCTAAGTCCAAATTTTCTCGGCAGAAAAGTAGATGCGAGGTGAGAGTTATTTTTAAATTCAGTATGTGCGTGTGCATACACATATGTACTCATGTACAAACACACACATGTGCACACTCACACAACCTTCTGAGACAGGGTCTCACTCTGTCGCCCGGCGTGGCCTGAAACTTAAGATCCTCAAGCCTCCAGGGTCTCGATGAGGAGACTGCAGGCATGTGCCACTCACTGGGCCTGACAAAGTGCTCCCGGGTTTCACAAGGTGTTTCACCTAGCATTCTTTATAAACACTAAATACAGAATTAGGCTTGCTGGATGCGCTGCAGCATTTACCAACAAAACTGCCAACAACTAGACTGCATAAAGACCAGCATGAACAGATGGGGAAAGGCGGCACTCCAAGCGTGAGGACTATGTGGAAATTTCTGAGTCCTCCGACAGCTTTCTGGACACCGGCCTTTGTCAGCCCCAGGAACCAACGCAGAGACGATATGGTAAACACGTAACATAGGTTGTGACCCATCTAAATGTGGATATTGAAAATGTCCAGTGTGTTTTCCGTAATGATCTGGGCAAAGCGTCCTCTATCAGTCTTGGCTGCCCTTAGTCTGACTAAGGAGGCGATGAGCATGAGGAATGGAATAGATCTAATGTTTGATAAATGTACCTTCTTACTATAGTAGCAACAACATTTAAAATACTTTTAAATAACATTCGATATAAAATGAATAATCATGACGATATTGGTTCTATTATCATGTTAAGCAATGCATAGCATACTACTACTCCATGTATTAGGTAATACTCCAAGTATTAGGTAATAAATACTGAGTCGATTAATGAGTACACATGATTAATTAAATATGGATCATATTTAAAGCCAAATGGGATGGCATCTGCCATTTTTATATTTCTAGAGGAATAGAGGAAAAGACAGAAAGAGGAGGAGGAGGCAGAGGACAAAGGAAGGAGAGGGAACAATTACTAATAACAATAAATAAGAGAAACCCATGTTACAAGTCATTCAAAATCTGCCTGCGGTCAACAGAGGCCCGTGTCCCTGTATGGAAGGGTCTCTAAAGGTTAAGAACGCTAGTGAGACCTTCAGCCCCTATTCCCTCACACAGCAGACTCTCAGAGACGTGCACACAGTGTATGCAAGCATCAGATGAGCACCCCAAGGCAACCTCGTCGATCACCCTGCTCTACAGAGAGTAAACACGGGAAGAGCGCCGTCTTCAGAACGCTCACTACACTGGAAATCCCCGTCTTCTTTTAGCCGGTGAATTAGCCAGGCTCCCGACTGCATTCTAATGAAGGCAGTTTTCATTTCCACAACTACTATTACATGGCAAGTGTTAACTCTCTGAGAGGAGGCTCGCGCTGGTCTGCAGCACAGGGGCGGAAGGAGGACAGTCCCTGGGCCGGGGCTTGACCCCCAGAACCTGGCTCACCTGCAGCAGAGGTGGAAGACCCGCTCTGGCCTCCCTTCCGATTCCGACTTCACGTGGACAATTTCACATACAGCATTTGCCTCTGCGTCTAGATAAGTTAAAATAATGTCACGTCAGGCATAGTTTAGTAGACTCATTGACATGTTTTTACAGATGAACTTTTCATGCTTGGTATCTGCTAAAATAATGCAAAGCAGCCCAAGACCAAAGTTACTTCATTCCACCCTGAGCTAAAGAGCAGGCACCAGAAGTCCAATGAATGCTATAAAAAAAAAAAAAAAAAAAAAAAAAAAAAAACACAAGAAACAATAGAGAAGGGGCTGGAGGGATGGGGGGTGGGAGTGTAAGAGCTTGAGGCTCTTGCAGAAGACTGGAGGAAAGCTCCCAACATGCACATCAGGTGACTTAGAACCGCCTGTAACTCCAGCTCCAGGGGACCTGACGCCCTCTTCTGGCCTCTGCAAGTACCCTTCATGTATACACACACATACACACACACACACACACACATACACACA